CCCAATAGACTAAATATTCAAACTCAACCTTCTGCCAAATTACAATGTCACCAACAGGACCATTACCCATTGCAAGCCCATTAACCTTTCATTCCCAGCTAATACTACAACCCAAGCTCAATTAATCTCATCACAAATTAAACAAACCCAACAAATAAATACCCAGCCTATCAATTTCAATCTCACCCTCATTCACTTGACTTCCATTCAAACAGCTCTCTTTCAAGAAATCAATAATACTTTTAGGTAATTCTTCCAGCAAGGCCTCCAAATCTGCACCCAGTTTTTTTCTTCTCAACGTCACTCACTACCAACTTAACTGGATCCTGCTTAACTTGTGTTTAATTGCACTGGCTTTCTGCTCCTTAACAGGAGGCAAGGAAAAACTAGTTTCTGATTCTATGATAACACTTGATTTTGAAGGCACTGATTCATCAATTTTTGCAAAGAATGGTGGCTCTCTATGTTGCTTCTCACTACAAGAGAGAAGGCTACACAGTAGAGAGAGAAAAGTTTGAGAGCTTCAAATTCCTATAAAAATGTCGTCTTGGTTTCCCTTAAGTTTCAGTTCCGATGATAACCCTTCACCTGAATCTTCTTCTCCCACAACTCCCTCCGTCGGCTTTAAGGAAAACTTTTCCACCCTTTTCTACGGTGTGGTGGCCTTTCTTCCGCAGCCACCGCCCAACTCGAACGTGATTGCCAGAATCAAGAATGACTTGGTGGAAATTAAGGATACCTTAAAATCGCGCCTTTCTTTTTTCTCCTCGAAACGCACTTCCCTTTTTTTTTTTTACAGTTTCCTAGAGAAACTAACGATAGTGATGATGGTTTGGAGAATAGTGTAGTTGGAGTTATAGAGGATGAGTGGATTTTGTTGAAAAATTTCAACAAGTCCAGAGCTTTGGATTGATTTTCCTATCTCTCTGCCTGATGATGTTGATATGTCTGACTTCTTGTTTCCCAGGTTGAATGAAGAGGATTTAAAGCTTCTAGAAACTCCACAGGTTGTTGAAACGAGGGAGACAATTTTGCAGAGAATGATGGCTCTCTATGTTGTTTCTCACTACAAGAATTTAGATCCGAAGAGAACATAAAAAAAGAAAGAAAACAAAATTGCTAGCCGGACGAGCAGTTCAAGGCCGCTCGCTGGAAATGAAATTCAAGATTAATGTGTTTAAGATCGTAATAGCTCTGATACCATGTTAAACAATTCAAAGAAATAAAGAAAAGGCAAAAGGAGGCTAGGCTTTCATTTATTCTGCATAATGAAANAAGAATGATTTAATCTAGAAACAAAGAGATTATATATAGGCTAAATAAAAGAAATTGAAAAGACCATTATATCCTTAATAAATAATAAAATAAAATAACCCTATATTCTTAACACTGAGGTCAACTCTGAGTTAAGTGTTCAAGTAATTTCTGATTCTGTTTCTATTGAATCTGTCTCCATTACTGAGAAAAATGAATTAAAGGTTAGCGTAGTAGCTGACTATGTCAAAGTCCTAAAACATAAGCCTGAAATGGTGCTGTCATTATCCAACTATGTTGTCCCTGATGGTGGTGAATCCTATCCCATAGATATTGAAGAGTCACGTGGCGACAAGGTATCTGTGGAAAAAGCCGGTGGCAGCAATGTTGAAAATATAGACACTCGTGAAGTGTTGATGTTGCTGGTGATGATGATGATGATGATAAAATAGCTAGGGCCTGTAGTTTTTAATGCTGAAAGCAAGAATGAATCTACTTCAACATCTGTTAAAAGAAAATCTATTGATCAAAGAGCAGCAGTTGGAAACAATGACGTTTTAAGGAGGCAGAGCAAGTGGAACTCAGGAGCCCTTAAGGTTCCTAAACTGCAAGGTGGTAATATAGTGGGTTCTATCAAACCTATGGATCCATTTAAGCCTGTTTCCAAGCTCAACTTCTCTAGATTTAACTCTAGAGTGAGTGAGGAAATGCCGAAAGAGCGTGTAGTTCCACCATCAGCAAAGTCTCACACTTCTACTCTCAGAATTGATAATTTCCTGTGCCCTGTTACTTTGAAAGCAGCGGTTCAAGAACTTCTTGGAAAAAGGGCAGAATCACCAATTTCTCAACGGATCACATCAAAACCTATCGTTATGTTTCTTATTCTTCTGTTGAAGAAGCTATAGAATATCGTAATGTAGCGACCGAGGAAAAAATTTCTTGTATTTCGTTTTAAAAGAAATTTTCTTGTATAAATCAAAATTAATTTAAGTTATATTATTTCGTCGCTACGACCCTTCTTAAGAATTCAAATTAAAGTTTTGGCCACGATAGTAAAGTTTTGCCCACTTGTTCATAGAATTTTTGTAAGGTAGCAAATTGCTAGTAAACGAAAATTCTTTTATTATTTTATTTTGAAGACACTCGTTATTTTAATTGTTGCATGCCTGCTTAGTGCTTAAATCTTAAAAATCAATTAAACCGATTATATTGTACCAAAGGAGCCCAAATTCATCCCATTTGTTTCTCCACTAAAGGCGTTCCATTTAATTTTAACACCCACTAACTTGTGACATGATCATATCACTTAATTTACCATTTTAACTTCCTTTTTGGTCCACTGCAGAAATCGTGACTGTCCATTCCATTTGGAGATACTTTTTTTTTAGCCTTATCCTTATGCTACCCACTAAATGCACTCTTCAACTCCCCCACTCTCCAATTTACAAATTGTAACTTTCCATTTTTGTTAAATGTTGAAATCGTGGCTATTAATTTCTTTGGAGAACAAAATCCTTCCACTACCATTTCGGTTACTGCCATCACGTTCCCCATTTGTTATTAATTGAAAACATTACCTCCAGTTAAGATTTCATATCTCACTTCCACTTTGGGCTCCCATTTTTGGTTACTGCCGGATCCATTTTCCGTTGCATTTTGTTACAAATTCAACACAAAGGATAATCAGACTCCAATCATTCAAGGTAGGGGTGTTTTCTACGCTTTTGNGTTTTCTACACTTTTGTAAGTGAAGTAAAAATTTATTTGTTTTCGATTTGCATTAAAAGTGTTATTGTGTTACTTATGATGGAAGTACCATTTGGTGGTTCAAACAAGAGATAAAGAGATGATGTATGACACTCGAATGTGGTTATCAAAACCCGAAGAATAAGCGGACTGACTGATCACAGGTTCGCTTTACAGGTTAATTGAAGGCATGGCAGTGACATGAAGTGGTGGCAAGTGCTCGGTGACTTATAATGCATTTAACTTGCTAGTAAAATTTTCATTTATTTAAATATCTTTGAACACTTAGACGACACTTTTAATATGTTTAACTTTCTATTTTGCTTAAATTATTTTCATTGCATGTCGACTATAATTTAGAAATGATTGAATGGCTGCATATGAAGTTTATTTATTGCTGTATTGAATCTCAGATTATGTCTACCTATTTAAAAATGGTATAACTTGGGCTATGATGCATATTTTTGAGTTAAATCAATTGGGTTCGAAAGATATACGAGTCATCTAACAGTGACCTTTTGAATTACCTTAAAATATTATTTCGAGAAGGAGTTATGTCCATTTTAGTAGACTTCTATGAGTCAGTTCGAAAATTTCTGTCCAGCATAGTTGAAAAATGATTTCGTGCTTCAAACGTTATCGACACGAGCTCAATTTTTATATAATGTACGTATATGAATGTCATATTCTCTGTTAAAATTTCATGATTTTTAGTCGACGTTTACTAGGTCAAACAATTTTTATCTTTCCGCTGCTGCACTATTGGTATTGCTAATTTTCTTCCGAATGTTTTCCAAAATCAAATTTTACCATAATTGTCTAAGTCTATATAGACAATTATCTCCAATCATATTTTTATAATATATTTCAAATTTCAAATTTTCCTTATTTGAAATTTATTTTGGTTGACATTAAAGAGCACAAATTAGGAAAACTTTTAACTCTTCTAGTTCCTAGAATTTTGGGCGTTACACGTAATACATTGTACAATCTGCGGTGGCCTTCTAATGGGGAATGCTTGTTGGTAGCAGAGTTTTTTGATCCTCACAAAGTTAAAACACAGGTAGAGACTCCTCCCTTTTCTCTTGCAACTTCTTCAGGTAGTGCTCCTAACTTCTCTCACTTGCACTATTTGCTTAATCCAAGAATGGTGAAAAGAATGAGGCAGCTACCAACTTCATACAAAGAAGATATTCATGGCATCCATATTTTTGAACCTTGAGGACAATGTTAATTTAAGGGGAAGGGATGTCAAGACTCTACATTCTAGAACATTTCGTGACTCTAAAAAATCAGCACATGTGGAGGATGAAAAGCAGATTTGAAAAATTGTTAGTTTGAAAAATTTACTAGGTCAGTAAAAGATCAAGGTTATGTTCAAGCTCAAAGTGATCACACTATGTTTGTTAAACACCCCAAAAATGGGAAGATAGCAGTACTTATTGTATAAGTGGATGATATCATTCTCACAGGAGATGATTTGATAGAGATGGAATGGTTAAAGAAGAGTCTTGCCTCTAGTTTTGAAATCAAAGATTTGGGAACACTTCGATATTTCCTAGGAATGGAGGTAGCTCGGTCTGGAAGGGGGTTAGTCGTATCCCAACGTAAGTTTGTCTTGGATCTTCTAAAAGAAACAGGGATGGGTGGCTGTCAACCTGCAGACACTCCTATGGGTCCGAATCACAAGCTAGCGGATGTTAAAGTTGGAACTCCAGTTGATACTGCTCAATATCAGAAGTTGGTGGGCAAGCTTATCTACTTGGCACATACTCGACTTGATATAGCCTTCTCAGTGAGTGTCGTAAGCCAGTTTATGCACTTTCCATATGAAGAGCACCTTGAGGCAGTATATCGTATTCTAAGGTACTTAAAGAATACTCCAGGAAAGGGATTGTTCTTTAGAAAAGAGAGATCGAAGGACCATTGAAGCCTACACAGATGCTGATTGGGCAGGATCAGCCATCGATAGAAGATCGACTTCAGGTTAATGTACCTTTGTATAGGGTAACTTAGTTACTTGGAGAAGCAAGAAACAAAGTGTTGTGGCCCGTAGCACTGCGGAGTACCATGTTATGGCTCATGGTGTGTGTGAAATGTTATGGCTAAAGCAAGTCCTAGATGAGCTAAAGAGACTGATTGAAGTTCCAATAAAGCTTTATTGTGACAACAATGCGGCAATTAGTATAGCTCACAATCCAGTGCAACATTACAGAACTAAACATATTGAAATTGACCGCAACTTCATAAAGGAGAAACTTGAAGGAGCTGTTATCTGTATGCCATTCATTCCATCCGCACAACAAATAGCTAACATTCTCACCAAAGGACTCTTCAGACCGAATTTCGAGCTTCAGACCAAAGGAACATCTTGAGACTTCACAACCTATTGCCATTATTAACCTGCAGACACTCCTATGGGTCCAAATCACAAGCTAGCGGATGTTAAAGTTGGAACTCCAGTTGATACTGCTCAATATCAGAAGTTGGTGGGCAAACTTATCTACTTGGCACATACTCGACTTGATATAGCCTTCTCGGTGAGTGTCGTGAGCCAGTTTATGCACTTTCCATATGAAGAGCACCTTGAGGCAGTATATCGTATTCTAAGGTACTTAAAGAATACTCCAGGAAAGGGATTGTTCTTTAAAAAAGAGAGATCGAAGGACCATTGAAGCCTACACAGATGCTGATTGGGCAGGATCAGCCATCGATAGAAGATCGACTTCAGGTTATTGTACCTTTGTATAGGGTAACTTAGTTACTTGGAGAAGCAAGAAACAAAGTGTTGTGGCCCGTAGCACTGCAGAGACGGAGTACCGTGTTATGGCTCATGGTGTGTGTGAAATGTTATGGCTAAAGCAAGTCCTAGATGAGCTAAAGAGACTGATTGAAGTTCCAATAAAGCTTTATTGTGATAACAATGCGGCAATTAGTATAGCTCACAATCCAGTGCAGCATTATAGAACTAAACATATTGAAATTAACCGCCACTTCATAAAGGAGAAACTTGAAGGAGCTGTTATCTGTATGCCATTCATTCCATCCGCAAAACAAATAGCTAACATTCTCACCAAGGACTCTTCAGACCGAATTTCGAGCTTCTTACAAGCAAGTTGGGCATGATGGATATATACGCACCAACTTGAGGGGGGTGTCGGAGATTTGATTCCTATAATTAAGGAAAAATTTTTTTATTTAATTTAAATAGAATAGCTAAATTAGGAATAGGATATTAGCTGATTTGTCATTATTTTGTTTCCTATATTTTTGGTAGGGCTGTGATTCTTAGAAGCCCTATATATTCCTTCCTTGTATTTTGTAGAGAAAAATAATAAAAAGTTCAGTTTTTCTCCCTAAAAAACTTCACTATACAATGTTAATTACCTTGATTATTGCATTAAACAATGACTAGTACCAAGAATAATTTAATTATCTTGAACATTGCATTGCATTAATGTAGGGGTATATTAGGAAAATGGTAGTAAAGTTTATTGTTCCAACTATATTAACTAAATTTTCTTAATATGTGTGAAAAAAGAAACCTGACGATCTTTATGGGACTGAGGTAGTAATGCTTTTTGAATTACTTTAGTATTTGTCAGAGCCTCTTTATGTCATTAGTTAGATATCTCAGAAAATACGCATACATTTCATTTATCTTTTTCCTCTTTTGGTTGCAGAATTGGGCCCAGATGAGTCTAGGGACCTCCTTTTCAAGGAGGTGTCATTTCTCCCACAAATTCTTTACATTCTGGCCTCTTTATACATTGCCTTAGTACTCATTAGTAGATATAAATATATTTCATTAAAAGTAAATATATTAAAAAGTAAATAAAATATGGTTCTTTCTTCCATTGTGTTAATTTTGAAACACCTTCCTGCATAGGCATGGCTTATATTTGGAGAAGAGGCAAAGCTCATGGTATAGAGGAGGGCATAGCCAATAAGAGACTTCAATTTTGGATTAACCGTAGTGGGCAATCATCAACTTCACATGATGCTATTTATGGTAATTTCTACTGTAGTCTAGACTGGGACGTTAAATCATAAATGTGTCCGTGGATTTTATTGTCCAGACTCAGTTTTATATAGTTTATAGAAAGTTTATATTGCATCTGCTTTCTCATTAATGCAGCTCTCCCAACTTTTCGCATGT